CACTCCTGCCCTCCCTTCCGTCCCACTCTTCGACGCCCCCCTCCCAAAAAAACACCCTCCCAGGCGGCGTGGAGGTGGAGCTGGAGGTGGGCTTCGAGCCCCACGCCCTGGGGGAGGCGGCGCGCGACACGCTGGTCGTGGCCAGCCCCGCAGGCGGGGAGTACCTGGTGCCGCTGACGGGGCGCTGCGGCCCGCCCAAGCCGCAGGGCCCGGTCGACCTGTCGGAGGTGAGGGGGAGGGGCGGCCAGCCCCTGGCGGCCGTGCGCCTTGCCGGGGACCGGGGGGGAAGGGGATGGGGTTCTCCTGCAGAATGGCGGCGCAGGTGCGGGAGTCCTGATGGCAGCACGCCACTTTGGCGGTCCGGCCACCTGGCGACTTGAGCCCCTCGCATCGCCGGTCATCCCCGCGCCGAGCTCGCGTCCTTGGGCTGCGCTCGCCCTTCGGGCCCGCCGTCACGCACGTCGCTCCCCCTTGCGTGTGCTGCCCCCCCCTGCGGCTCTGCCAGGGCCCGGCGTCCCTGCCGTTCCGCAACGTTTTCCCGGTCGAGGCGGACTTCCTGTTTTCGGTCGACAACCCCGCCTTTGTCCTGGGCCGCCCCAGCCAGCGCGTCGGCCCCAAAAAGGCCACCACCATCGCGGTCTCACACAAGCCGGAGGCGGCGGCCGCCAAGGCGGCCGGCGGCAGCGGCAGCGGCAGCGGCAGCGGCAGCGGCAGCAGCAGCGGCGCCGGCGGCGGCAGCGGGCGCGCGAGCACGGCGGGCGGAGGCGGCGGGGGCGGCAACGGCGGCGCGGCAGAGGGGGTGGCGCGCACCGGGAAGCTGACGGTGTCGTGCCCCAAGCAGACGAGCTCCCAATGGGTGTACTACCTCACCGCTTGACGTGCGGCGGCCTCGCGACGACATTGGTTTCTTGAATGGCATCACTCTTGCCTCTAGGTTGCTTAGGCGTGTAATGCAGTGTGTACACGTTGCTTTTGATGCCAAGGAGGGAACACAAGGATGGAGTGTATCGAAGCACTGGGATTTGACCACTCCAAACATGGATGGCGCGCCAGCGTGGCCTCAAGGCTGCGACGGAACGGGGTGCGCAGCGGTTGCGGTGACGCAGGCACGCAGGGACCCGGGGATGGTGTGCGAATCGGCGGCGTGCCCTGCAGGGCAAGAAGCCTGGGTTGTGGGGGCAATCGGTCAATGTCGCCATCGCCGCGCCAGCGGTGGACTTCACATTGATTGGTGACATGAGGGCCCTGCAAGCCTCGCATCAGATACATGGAAACAAATTTGAGTATATAACAAGTGATTTTGCATACTCGTACACCGTGTTGCGCGTAGATGGCTCGCCGCCACTGCACACCGCAACGCGGCAAGCAGCGGTATGCACAACGCGCGTAGGGTACCCTCGCTCATGCCCGTGCCGCCAGTGCCCCTTGAAACCTTACGGTATCTACTGTGGGCCACATCGCAGCACAGTCGCACAAATGCAAGTCCTCACCTTAGTAATCTACATGTCAGCAGGTGTCTCGACCATCGACCGTTGCTCTCCCCGCGCGCAAATTATTGCCACACGTTACCAGAGTGGTTATGCGCGCGCCGCAATGCTCATCACTGATGCGGTTCAGGTTGAGATCGTCGGGCACCTTCACCCACACCATGCCTTCTTCGACTGTGTCTGTGCAGTGCTCACGTTCTGCATCAACATATGGATTTGGAGGAGCAGCCTGGAGACCAAGGCGGCCGCGCTGCACTTTGACGACTGCAGATGTCGCAGCACCCTGGCCGAGGCTGCAGGCGCACACACCTGCTTGGTACCAACGCCCCCCCTGCCCGCGCGGTTTGCCGCCCTCCGCTACCTCGGCAAGTGCTTCGTCTAGCGGCACATCCACCACGACGGTGAGCTGATCGGGCCTTGATGACTCCGGCAATGAGTCCGCCGCCTGCCCATCAGATCTTGCCACCTGGACTCGGGGCCCAACCCCTGGGCCTCACCTCTGTCTGCCCAAGCACAACCCCCCTCATTCTGCCCACAGGTGGTTGAATACCTTGTGCTCCTGCGCCTGCGCCCTGACGCGCCGCCAGATGCGCTGAACGCAGCGCTGGACGCGGCGTGGTCGCTGCAGTACCTGGCCCCTGCCATCATGTGCGCCAGTGTTGGCTCGATCGCAGAGCAGCGGGGCCCTGCCGACGGCAGGGCGGGCAGTGGGCAAGGGGTTCCTGGCGGCGGCGGGAGCGGCTGCGAATTTACGCACTGGGCGCACTTCAGGCTTGCAAGCCGCGCCGCGCTCGGCGCCCTGCTGAGGCACCAGCTCCACACGGCGCTGCTGCGGGACGCCCTCAGCGCGCTGACCGCCGCAGCGGACGAGGACGGCGTTGACAGTGGTGGTGGTGGCGGTCGCGGCAGCGGCATCATGCAGCTGGCGTTTGAGGGCCGAGTGGCAAAGCAGCTGGAGTCGCTGTTCAGGCGCGGGGACGAGTTTGGCGAAGGCTGCGAGCTGCTGCTATTGCTGCGGCCAGGGGGCGGGGGAGCGGCGGCGCAGGCGGACGACTTTGTGGCGCGGCTGGCCGCTCTGGCGGAGAGCCCGGGGATGGGTGCTCTGCAAGCGAGCGGCGGGGCAACGGTGCCTGTCGACGACGCGGGCAGTGTCGCGGCGGCGGTGGCGGCGGCGGGGGCCGACATATCGCATGTGCTGATTGCGCGTTTCCCCTCGATCGCGCGCGCACATGCGTTCCTGAAATCGCCGCCGTGCGCGGCGGCAGAGCTGTGCGACGCGCGTCTGCCGCTGCACCTGCACATGGCGCTGGCGGCCGTGGTGGAGCCCGGGGACGAGGCTTCCACAAGGGTGCAGGGTGTGTAGCCCAGTGATGGCATGTGAGGCCAGGGTGTCGCGATCGCAAACAGCCCAACAGGTAATGCCAGGAAGATCGACTGGTCATATTTGTTGCAGTGGGGCAAGGCAAGGGTCTGGGACACTTGACTGGGTGCACGCCATCCGCGGGGCTATTGGCGCCACTTGCAACCTCGCCTGCGAAGCGTGCTTGAGGGGTTGCAGGGCATGCAAGTCGAGGCAGAAAAATCCACTGCAAAAATCATTGGGCTGGTACTGGCAGCGGTGATCCCAGCCCTTGGGCTTGAATCGCATGGCTAAAGCAAGCTATGCTTAGGCTTTTGGACGGTTGTCTGCAGCAATCAAGGACCGCCAAACCCGATCTTGCGAGCAGCAGCTGCCCGCAGAATCGCCATTGGGGCGGGGGCCTTGTTGGGCGCATGCGCTGTGCGCTGACACTCGAGACTCTGCACAGGACATGCACGATAGCGATAAACTCGAGCAACCGCATGCAATACGCATAATAGCCCGCAGCGCACAGCCATGGCAGACGCGGGGGATCTCACGGCAGCCTCCTCGGGGGCGCTTGCCGAGAAGATAAAAGAGTGGACTCCTGAGATGATGATGCACTCTTTCAAGGTGGGGCGGTCGGGCACGCTGGTTGAGCCTCGCAGCGGGGCGCGAAGATGATTTTTGTGCCGGGCCTCGCTCGCACGGCAGGCGTCCAACACCCCTGCACCGCCCCCCTTGCATACTTCAGGTTGAGCTCTGCACGGACGAGGTGCGCTGGGGCCGTGGGCGGCCTTGGGGGAGATGATGCGGGAGTGGTGCATGCCCCAGGGGCGCGCCTTGGCCGGTGGTTGTTGGGTCGCTAGGCTGTTACGAATATACATGGTGGCTTTTCGGGCTGCCGGTGGGGCACAGTGCTCTGGATTGCGTGCAAGCCCAGCCCGTGTGTCGTGCCAAACCACAGCGGCTCCCACCTGCATGTACGTTTCTAAGCGACTTTACACCTGCGGGAATTGCAACCCTTGCAACTTGGTGGCAGTCCCGCCCAACGGCGGTCGCAGCTGTCGCCGCCTTGCTATGCTGACGGATGTGGGTGATTCGGGCGCGCGGCCAACTCGCATGCGCGGCCACCTACTGGCTTACCAACCGCTGCATGTGCTGCCCACCCTGCCTACAACCGCAGGCGGCTCACGACTGGCTTGAGTGCCCCTATGCCCACCGCGGCGAGAAGGCAGCAAGGCGCGACCCGGCCACGCACAACCACGTCGGCGTCATCTGCCCAGACATCCGCAGGGTGCGCGCCCCGCCTGCTCACGGGGTTGGTTGGCAGGGAGGGGGGGGCTGCCTAGCGGGTCAGGGCAACTTGCTGTTAGGCAGCCAATGAACATGTAGATCAATGCTGCTGGGGCATGAAGAATATTGGGTGCACCCGCATGGCGGCGGTCGGTCCAGCAGGCGCCTGGCAGCGGTGCTCAGGCCACCATGGAGTAGGGGCGCTCTTGGAGTGCCCCGTTCCTGCTGCTGCTGCTGCTGCTGCTGCTGCTGCTGCTGCTGCTGCTGCTGCTGCTGCTGCTGCTGCTGCTGCTGCTGCTGCTGCTGCTGCTCTGCTGCTGCTGGATCACAACGCCCAACTACCCCGCCCTGCCCTTACCTTGTGGCCCGCCCTGCAGAGCGGCCGCTGCCCCCGCGGTGACAGCTGCCCCTACGCTCACTCCGTCTTCGAGCTGCACCTGCATCCTAACCGCTACCGCACCCAGCTCTGCACCATGGGTGCATCTTGCCGGCGCCCGGTCTGCTTTTTCGCGCACACCGTGGAGGAGATGCGCAGCCCCCCGGAGGGTGCCTCCGCGGCCCCGGGCGCCCCGCCTGGCGGCGCAGGCGCACCTGTACCCCCGCCGCGTGGGCTGTCGTTTGACCTGTCCGCTGACGGCGGCGCCGCGGCCGCTGCCGCTATGCGCGCAGCAGCCGCGGCGCCGGTCGGCGGCCGCGCATCGCTGGAGTCCTCGGCTGCTGCGGCCGCTGCGGCTGCTGCGGCGATGAAGACAACCTCGTTCGGCGCGCTTGGGTCGCTGGGGCGCCCAGCACCAGCCACCCCTGCGGCGCTCGCAGCGCCGGGGCGCCCGCCAGCCGGCCGCATGTCGTTCGACGCGCTGGTGCGCCCGCGGGCGGTGCCCGTGGCCGGGCGCCAGGTGCCGCCGCAGCAGCGCTCGTCCCTGGACGAGTCTGCGCTGAGGCGCCTGTCGCTGCCGTCCCTGCTGCCCGCGGAGCTCGGGTTCACCGCCGACGACAGCAGCTGCGGCAGCGCCTCCGACTCGCCCGTGGCGGAGTCCGCCCCTTCCCCCGGCCTCGGCTCTGTGCACGGCTCTGGCGCGGCGCTCGCGCCGCAGACGCCGCCCAACGCCGCGCCGTGGCTTGCGGCGGGCGCGCACCACCCGCAGCAGGTGCGCGCTGCGATCGCGCTGCTGGAGCGCGGCAGCAGCAGCGACGCGTCATCCTCGGCCTCGTCCACGGCGTCCCCCTCCAGCAGCGCCGGCGGCCGCCGCCGCGCTGGGCTTGACGGCGGCTCCAGGCCGCCCCCGAGCGGCGGTTGGGGCGCCACCACGGCCGCGCAGCCGGGCGCCCCTGCGCAGCAGATGCTTAGTGCGCTGCTCGTGCAGCAGCAGTGCGAGCAGATGGCCGCGCAGCAGTGCGAGCAGATCGCTGCGCAGCAGCGCGACCGCCTTGCGGCGCACCAGCACCTGCAGGCGGCGCAGGCGGCGCAGCAGCAGCAGCAGGCGCTGCAGCACCAGCAGGCGCAGCAGCACCTTGCTGCGCACCAGCAGGCGCAGCAGATGCACCTGAGGCAGCAGCAGATTGCGGAGCAGCAGAAGACCGTCGCGCTGAGCGCGCTGTGGCTGCAGGAGCGCCGCGCCGCCGCAGCGGCCGCCGCGGCCGTCCACGCCGCGCAGCAGGAGACAAACGCGCTTGCTGCGCTGCGCTGGGGCCTGGCCATGCAGCAGCAGCTGCCACCGGAGGTGCTGGCAGGCATGGCGGCGGCAGGGGCCGCTGCGGGCGGCGAGATGGGGCCGGCTGGCGCGCCGCCAGACCTGATGGCTCTTGCCAGTCACCTTCACCTGATGCGGGCGCAGATGACGTGATCCAATCACCACTGCATAATCAAGTGTCCCCTGCGTGAGGCGAGGGCGTGATTTGCGCGCATGTGCGAATGCGCGCGCCCCTCAAGCTTCGGGCTGGGCGGGACGTTTGCTTGGGGCTGTGCTCTCGTGCACCCCTCCCCGCTTCCTCCTGCTCCCTTCCTTTTTGTACTAGGGACTCTTTGCAAGTGCGAAAATTGGCCGAAAAAACAAGAGGAAAGAAGAGGGGGACTCTCTTTGAGTCCCAGAGTTTCACAGGAGGGCTGTGTTTCCCTTGGTTTGCTGTTTGGGAGTGACGTTGCTGTCAAGCTGTCACACAGGCGGGTGGGACTGCAGTGCCACGCCAAGGCGCATGTTGAGCTGTGGCAGCCCTCTCTCAACCAAAGCAACTGCCGCTTGAGGGTGAGCGCAGCGTACCTGCGCAAGCAGGCACAAGCAGAGCCTTGTCGGCGGTTGGCACTGCCGCCGCCCTGCCCGCTTTGTGGAATTGTGCACTACAGAGCACCCACTGTTTTTCCTGGCTGTGAGCGCTTTCTCATCGATAAGATGAAGTCAGACGTGAGGAGGTTGTTTGGCTGTGAGTCACACCAAGTCGTCATGACGCCGCACCGCTGGGCGTTTGCGCCGCCTTCATCCACCCCATGCCAGGGCGGCGCCTGGGGTGTCAGGGCCAGTGCGCCGCCGTGTTTTCGAGCTCCGAGGCTTGTGTGCGCGCTGTGTCCAATCTATATGGGGCGAGGCCCCTGCTCCATCGCAACGCGCCCCCAAGTGGGCTGCGTTGGACCCCCTTGAGCTGCTGGCCATGTGAGCTACCCCTCGCACCAACAAAATGGCCCTTCGGCACGGGCGCAAGCGCGCCTTGTTTGAGGGCCCTGCCGCGCCGGCCATCTCTCTGCATTGTGAGGGGCTTGGCGCGCAGCTCCCCGCAAAGCCCTGTGGGCTGGTCAACAACATCACTGCTGGTGTTTTGGGCCCCCCTTGCCGTCTCTGCACCCTGTCAATGGAGGCCTTTCCACCGAGTGGCTCAATTCCAGGGGCGGCGCACCCCGTGTCACTTCGCCAATACTGTGCGCCCAGAGCTTGCGCTGTTTGCTCGTGCGTGCGGAGCGTTTTCCGCGCGCGGCAGGGCAGGGGCAGACGTCGTCTTTCGGCAGGCATTTTGCTGGCCACCGAACGGCGCCGGCCTCTCGCCCCCGGCCGTGCGGCCCTGCCCGCATCGGCACCCCGGCATTCACCGGGCCTCCTTTTTGTTCGCGTCGTGCCGACTGTCTTGAACTCTGGGGCGCTCCAGTGCCCAGGGCGGGGCCTGGCAAGGGCCCCTCCCAAACGTATTGACTGTGGGAGCCGCAGACAAAGAAGAGCGAGCCAATGAGGAGCCGCGACATTAACTGCTGAGGAGCCGAGGGAACGAGAGCGATTGCTCGAGACTAGCGCCCCTCGCACGGGCGCGCCTTGGGGGGCTGCCGTGCTGGCTGCGCCGCACTGGCCATTTCTGGGCCGCGAGGGATTTGCCCTGCTTGGCCTGTACGCCCACATTCGTCGCCGACCTTTTGAAACACCAATGTGCATTCCACCGCGCGCGCCGCTGCACCCCGCGCGCCTGCGACTCCAGCTGTTTGGTCTGTAGGCCAGCCCCGCAGGACCTGCTGCGACTGCACACAACACATCAGTGCACGCGCATGCTCAAGCCGTCCCACGGGGTTATCAGTTAAGCCAAAAACAGTGCAATTCTGTCGCTTGCGTGTGGTGTCATGTGGCATGTTGTGCGCGTTCACCGTGCGTCCCGAGGCAAAGCCCATCAAACCGCCTTCTTGAGTGTGCCGCGTCGTCATCAAGGTTCATAAATGTCGTCTCTGGGGACGCTGGGCCTCTCCGCGCCCTTGCCCCTGTCAACAACTACCTTCCAGATGTTTTCACTACACCCCTCTCCGCGCCACGTCAACGTGTAATTTGCCATCACTTCCTGCCCCTGGCATGTATCAGTGGGGGGTGGGGCTGGTGCTGCAACAGCTGTTGTTGGCCACGCTTGGCGGCCGGCATCATCCGATCGGGCTGGAGGGTTGTTTCGGAGCAGCTCGCTACTGCACTGCGCACAAAAAGATCGAAGAATGTACCCCAATGCTGGTGTATATGCGCATATGCCGACTCAGCACCTGCCCAGCCGGTAGCTCAATCCTACGTGATCTGAACTGCAGAGGTGTGTGGTATTATCCAACCCAACCACCGCAATGAACTTGCATCCCGCATTCCACACATCCATGTACCAGCTACTTGCTACCCAGCACTGGGATGTCAAACAGATTTATCACTCAATTAAACACATACGGGTGCATAGTCAATACGGAGAGACGATCGCCTTGTTGCATGGGTAGCATCACTCATACCTGACATTGTCAACACCATCCCTGTGTGCGTGTCACCGTCCTGTCCTGTCCTGTCCTGATCGTTTTGCAAAGAGAAAAGCACATTGGAAATCACGTCGCGAAAATTTGTTTAAGAACCAGTTATGCTCATAAAGCTAGCACAACGGGAATCGGAGATCTGCCTTGCTGGCCAGCGGCGCGCGGATCGACCAGGAGTATAGCCGTATCAATGTACCCGCGCGAGTGACAAGCCAGTTGCCATGGGCGATGCTGGTTCAAGCCGAACCGGCCAGCGCGGGCCTGGCGCGCTCGTGCTGTTGTCTGCGTGCGGGGTGCTGCTGCGGCTGCTGGTCGGCCTCTCCCCGTATTCAGGTGCGCCGGCATGGGCAATATGCATGTATGGACAGTGATTCCAGCACTCTTCTGAAGTCCGCTGTGCAGCGGCAAACCTGGCAGACTGGGCACGCATAGCGCCAGCGACACCGCTTGGGTGGGTGCCGCGACATAAAATCACGCAAACCCGGGCAGGCGCGGGCGACGCGCCCAAGTTTGGTGACTACGAGGCGCAGCGCCACTGGATGGAGATCACCACCAACACGCCGCCGCGCAGCTGGTACCAGGATGGGCCCCACAACAACGCCTCCTACTGGCCCCTGGACTACCCCCCGCTGTCAGGCTACCAGGTGGCGTGACGCGCGCTCGCCGGGCTGTTACTCCCTTTGCGCCTGCACAGCTGCCTTTGCGCCATGCCACCATGCACTCCTCAAAACACCGCCAATTCCAGTGGGCCTCGCTGTTCAGCCACGGAGTTCGATACAGCTGCCGCCGCCGTCCTGTCCCCGCACTCCCCACCTCAGAGCTGGATCCACGGCAAGATGGTGGCTGCGTTTGAGCCCGAGGCGGTCGCCCTTGGCTCCTCCCGGGGCTACGAGACGCCGTCATCCAAGAGCCTGCTGCGCTGGACCGTCGTCCTATCTGACGTCCTCACCTTCTTCCCCGCCGCCCTGCTCTCGGCGCGCCTCCTGAGGCCGGCGGCGGGGGCGGCCAGGGCGGCCGGGGCAGGGGCGGGCGCTGGCGCGAGCGCCGAGCTGTTTGCGCTCGCGGCGCTGCTGCTGCAGCCAGCGCACGTCCTGACCGACCACGGCCACTTCCAGTACAATTGCATCAGCCTCGGCCTCGCGCTCGGCGGCGCGGTGGCCATCGCGGCGCACGGGCGGCGCGTACTGGGCAGCGTCCTGTTCTGCGCGGCGCTGAGCCACAAGCAGATGAGCCTGGCTTACGCGCCCGCGTTCTTCGCGCACCTGCTGGGCAGCTCCCTCCAGGCGCCGGGCCTGCCTCGCCAGGTGGGTCTCCTGGCAGAGGGGGGGGGCTGCTGGTTGGGGGCTGGGAGCGCGTGGGGATGCAGGGCAGGTCAGTCGCCTGGCCAGGCCGCTTCTGCGCGTCCCACAATGGGCCGTCAAGTACGATGCCGAGCGCACACGAATCCAACATGGCGCACGCGCAACGCGACACTCACACCTCGCACCCCGCAATCAACGATCAGGTGAGCGCCGTGGCCGTGCTGGGGGTGACTGTCATCGCCAGCTTTGGGGTCATGTGGGCTCCTTACCTTACATCTCTGGACAGCCTGATGGAGGTGTGCGCATGCGCGCGCATGTGTATGTGTGTGTGTGTGTGTGTGTGCGCGCGCGCGCGCGCACGCGCGCGCCCTCCCGCGCAAGCGCGGGTGCGCACGGGTGGGCGTGTGTGGGTGCGTGCGAGCGCATGTGCATGTTCATGACGCCTTGGGCCCCTGGCGCAGGCGCAAGCTGGGGTGGCTGGCGTCATGCGCGCGCAGCATGGTCGTCTGCATGCCCCCAAAACCCACCGCGTGTCACCTGCCCTCACATTGATTTGCCGGCCTTCTCCCCAACACACTGAGCCACCGCCTACTCTGCCTGCCGCCCCGCCCACCCGCACGCACAGGTCGTGTCCCGCATATTCCCAGTCCGCCGCGGACTGTATGAGGACTACCTGCCCAACTGGTGGTGCGCCACGTCAGTCGCAATTAAGTGGAAGGACCTGGCCAGCAACACAGCCCTCGTCCGTGCGTGCGCGGGGCTGGCGCTGCTGGCGTGCGCGCCCTCCATGGTGCAGCAGGTGCTGGCGCCATCGCCGCAGGGGCTGCTGCTGGCCATGGTCAACAGCGGCTTTGGCTTCTTCATGTTCGGCTACCAGGTGAGTGGCTTTCGAAGTCGGTCATTGTTATTGCGATAATGTGTGAGCTGCCGCCGGCTGGGGCTGGGGCCCACCTGGCCTGAGCGCCGGGCAGGTTGTGAAATTCAAGGCTCAAGGCAAGTTTCAATGCTGCTGTGTTCTCTCTGCAACGCCGGTTGCTTCGCGCTGACGGCACACGCGCCCCAAGCCTCCTTCAACACCTGCAGCCTCATCATCCGACCCCCCGCATCACTGTTGCCACCCAACCTCAACCCCCTTCCCCCGCAGGTCCACGAAAAGTCGATTCTGCTGCCCCTGATGCCCATCACCGCCCTCGCGGCCTGGGAGCCGGACGCCGCGATATGGGGCCCAGTGGTCGCGGCCTTCTCCATGTACCCCCTGCTGGAGAGGGATGGCCTGGCGCTGCCCTATGCCGGCGCAATTGCCATGTACCTGGCAGTCATGGGGAAGCTGCGGGACGCGGCCTTCTCAGGCAGCGGCACGCCGCAGCGCGCGGCAGGCTGGCTGGCAGCGGCGGGGCAGGGGGCCATATGGGGCGGCGGCGCCGCCGCGCTTGCGCTGCATGCGGCGCGCGCGCTGCTGCCGCCGCCGGAGCGGCTGCCGTGGCTGTGGGACCGCGCTTTCATATCGCTGGCGTTTGTGTATGTGGTGGCGGGCATGTGCTACTTCAACTGGCGGCAATGGGCGCAGCCCGCCAGCGGTGGTATCGTGTCCGCGACACCGAACGGCGTAGCGCCGCGCGGCGCCGCGGGGTCTGCAGCGGCGGCGGCGGCGCTGGGGCGGCGCGGCGGTCCGGTCGGCATAGGCAGCGGCGGTGGTGCGAGCCCACAGGCGGCGGCGACGGGCAAAATTAAGTCGACTTGAAAGGATGCTGGGCTAGACAGCTGTGACACGCTGTCAACCCTTTGGAGGCCCATTTCCTTGTGCCGTGTCATTTTGGTCGTGTGCAAACGCTGAACGTGCAAAGCATCCCCTTGCCGCATTTGGATCTGAGTATACCTCCATGAAATTTCTGGAGCTGCACAGCCGGGTAACCAAATGCTCATGGAAGCAGGCACGCCGCCATTACTCTTGCAGCCATTGCGCTAGCTTTTCCGGGGCTTCCAGCCACGCGGCTTCTGCATCACAATACGAGATGGCCGGGTGCCGGGGGGCGGCGGCACAGCCGCTGCAGCCCCCCTACCGCCCGCCGCCCCTGCCGCCGCCGCCGCCGCCGCTGTCGCCCCCGCCGCGTCATTTCCAGCTGCCGCCGCTGCCGTTGCAGCCTGCGCCGGCGCCGCGCCCACCAGCTGCTTGAATTTGGCCGCCAGCTCTGAGGTCGGGGCGCCTGCCTTGGCTGCCTGCGAGGCCGCCGCCATGGCCGCCAGGCTGGGCAGGCCCAGCCGCTCCCGCAGCCCCTTGTGCCGCAGCACAGCCGCCTGCGCCAGGCTGAACACGCTGTTGCTGGACCACAGCAGCCCAACAGCGGCCGGCACAAACCCGCCGAAGGGCACGAAGCTGACGGCCACGACGCGCATCACCCACTTGACTGTCTTGGCTGTCTGCGCCTGCCCCATCTCCGCGCCCATCGCGCCGCTCTCCACCAGCGCGAGCGTCATCGCCGTGCACAGCACGGGCAGGCCCCACAGGGGGTCCGGCACCGTCAGGTCCGGGAACCAGGCCAGCCCCTCCCTCGCCATTGAGGGCAGCGACTCATTCGCGAGGGTGGACACCGCAGAGAACTGGGAGATGAAGACCGTCATGTTGACCAGCGCGATGACCGGCATCAGCAGCGCCCACTTGGCGTCGTTGCCAAACTTGCTGGCCATCGTCGCCTTGGCCTCCGCGAGCTGGGCCTGCAGCCTCTCGTACTCGCCCAGGGTGGTCTAACGCGCCGTGGAACAGTTGGGTTCGGGGGTTGGTGGGATTTGGTCTTACGGCAGATGATGAGCCACGTGAGCGATGGGCGCAATGAGCAGGGCGGGGCTTGGATGGGTGTATAAGCTACAACCAACCTGCACAGGTGATTTGATAAATCATAATCGTGCGCCATCAAATCATCACACGTGAAAAAGCCCTGAATGTGGTCCCACTTTCCATGCATATGACCTCACACCCATGCGGCAAGCGGCTGCGCGCCCGGCCACGCACCACTTTGGAGGCGCGCTGATACAGCGATTGCATCATCGCAGAATGGGCGCGCAGCTCCTGCAGTTACAGAAAAGGCCACGGAGAGTACGATTGTCTGTGAGAAGGAGCTGCTGGGAGCAACAGCATAACACCGTTTGCATGTGCTGAGCATGGCAGGCTGCGGGTGCCCAAACCGCTTCAGCATCAACGGTGACAACCCCGGCTGCTGCACGTCCCCCGTATCCCTTGTGCCACCGTTCCGCGCCGACGCACCGTCATGCGGCTGCTCTTGCGCTGTGTTAGTACTGTTATGGGGAATGATGCCATGCGCACCACCAGGTTGCTGACGAGGATGGCCGCCCACCTAGTTGAATGCAGGGGTGGGGTGGAGTGGAGTGAGGCTTGACACGTGCCACCTGCGCCGAGGCTGCGACTTGCCCGCCAACCCCAGCTGCTGAGCACCCAGAAAAATCACACCTTTTGGGCCCAGCAAGAACACACACATTCCAGACAAACGGCAAGCGACGCGCCCAAAGCAGGAATCTGGCCCCTATCACCGCCCGTCTCACCAAGGCATAGCCATGTCCAGATGCACCCACTCCAGCAGGTCGATGAACCCCCGCGTCCCCACCCACACATCCGCCTTGGCCGCTGCCAGCGCTGCCGCCTCCGCCGCCCCCGACGCGCCCACGACGGCTGACGCGGCGTCCAGAAACTCCTGGGGCGTCTGCGGCGGCGGCAGCCACTCGACCTCCTCACCATACGCCAAGTCCAAGTCTGGAGACGCCGAGCCGCTCGCACCTGCGGGCGTGCTGGTGTCGCTCCTGCTGCCGCTGCTGCTGCCGCCGCTGCCGCTGCCGCTGCCGCTGCCGCTGGCACTGCCGCTGCCGCCGCCGCCACCGCCGCTGCCACTGCTACCGCCGCCACTGCTGCTGGCAGTGGTTGCGCTTGGTGACCCCTCGTCATTGCTGAAGTGCATCTCTGCGCTTGCTGCCCCTGCGCCCGCCGGCGGCGTGTCGCCGCTGGGCGACCGCGACCACCACCATTTGGAGCGTGTTTGGATGACTATCGCAGCCGCTGAGCAAGAGGGGCCCCACGGCGCGCCAGCAGCGTCTCCGTAACGTGCAGGCAACATGCCGCCGCCGACAGCGGCGATAACGTTTTGTCCTTGCAGCTCTTGGTGCTGCCGCAGCACGCTGGATGCGCGCAGCAAGACTCTCGAAGCCGTACGCGGCAGCATACTGGCCGTTCAGTGCTGGCGACCGCACTCGAGGTCCCGACTGTAAAAACAACGGGTGATCTGAAGAACCGTCGCTGCCAAGGCGAATCAAGCTCATACATGCATAAATAAAGCCGCTGGTATAAAGTTCCTTGCGTCTGACGGTCCTTGATGACCTTTCAACGTGAACCTGTGTCCGCACCACTGCCAACCTGGGTTCCACGCGCCCTCGATTACGGGCCCTCGTTGCCGACATGTTAATGCAAATTCTGCCTGACGCAAGCAAATGCAGCGCTGATTCCACCCTTTCCGAAGTCCTTGCTGGATCCGCCAAGCATCCTCGCGTCCTCACATCGCATCGCGTCCCTGCTAAGCGCATACAAGCACGCTGTGATATGAAGGCGTCCGTACCAGCCTCAGTAGGCGTCCAGCGGCTGGTCGGGACGCGCCTGGGGCCGCGCACACTCCCGCAGTTGCCGCGTCGCGCTCGCCTGGCACGCCTCTGCAGTGCCGCGCCTGCATGGCCATGCTGTGCGGTGCGTAGGCACGAGCCCAGTGCTGGCTGGGTTGATGACAACGCCATTCCATGCAGCTCCAGTGGTCAGGCGGTGACGATGCCTGACAGCACCTCGTTTTGGCTCTGGGGTGACAGGAGCATCAAAAGCAGCAGCAGCAGCATCAGCGGCAGCAGTAGCAGCAGCAGCAGCAGCAGCAGCAGCAGCAGTGTCAGCATCGTGAGCAATGGCATTGTTGACAGCTTTGATGCGCAGTTGCCGGAGGCTGTGCACGGAGGGTGGTCTGTCGCCGCGCAGCAGAGCTCATGTGGACAGCAGCAGCGGCATCAGCATCAGCATCGGCAGCGGCAGCGGCAGCGGTGGCCACTTCCAGTGTGCATGGCTCTTGTGTGGCAGGTCGCGGTCTGGTTGGCCGTCCCCAGCGCAGCGCTGGCTTCCGAGACCCTGTCCTCTGGGCTGCTAGATGTTTTCAGCCAGTTCCTGGTGGGCGGCTGGTGCTCAATGGCGGATAGGAGCTACGCGTCGCGTTGGGGCGCTTGCTGTCTACGTTTGTGTCGCTTGTGCTGCGCACTCGCATCGAGACCGCATGCCATGGTTCTATCATGTACACGCCAGAATTTACGTGTTCCTGGCACGTAGCGCGCGCGCCGCTGGCAACCTAAACAGTCCGGCTGGTGCGCTCGCGCCTGTTGTGTGTCCCTCACTCACCTCCCTGCTCTTGTCCGCCGTACGCAGGAGCAAATTCAGGCGCTGGGGCCATGGGGAGGCGTCCTGTTTGTGACCACAGTGGCGCTGGCAGAGATGGTGCCGCTGCTGCCCACACAGCCACTCAGCCTGGCCAGTGGCCTGCTGTTTGGCGCCAAAAACGTGAGACTTTCACTTTTATCCACCCATCCCAGGGCTCCTGTGCTATGTCTTACGGTGCCGCGATCCTTCGTGCTCTTTGGGATCACCTGGGCCTTGCTTGATGCGCGGCACAGCACCAGCCTCCAAGTCCCAAGTGACGGCCCTGCACAGCAACCGCCCACGGCCCGGCGCCACTACCTATCCAACGCCCAACAGGGCGCACTGCTGATGCTGCTGGGCGTGACGCTCGCGGGGTTGGGTGCGTTCAGCGTCGCGCGCGGGGTCGGGCGGCCGCTGGCGGAGCGCATTATTAAGGCAGAGATGGGCGACCACGAGGGCGGCAGCGGCGACGGCAAGGGCGCCAGCTCGGCGTGGGCGTCTGTAGAAGCGGCGATCGAGTCCGGCGGCTTTTTTAAGCAGGTCACCGCGGTGACGCTGCTGCGGCTCACGCCCGTGGTGCCGTACAGGTGCGGCCGGGTCCGTAGCGGGCGTCCTGCCCGCGCTGCCGCTGCGTGCTGCGCGGCGCCTCCTGCCTGGCACACCGTCCTCGTCACTTGACATCACCCTACCCTCCCTCCCTCAACCCCACCCTGGGCCCGCAGCGCCACAAACTACCTACTGGGCCTCACGCCCGTGCAGCTTCCCGCCTTCCTGCTGGGCACACTGGCGGGCATGAGCATTTGGAGCGTCCTCTATGCGTCCCTGGGCGGCGCCAGCCGCACCTTGCTAGAAGGCGGCGCGGACCTGGAGGTGCTGCTTGTTGGTGGGTGCAAGGGGGGGCGGTGGTGCTGCTTGTTGGTCGGTGCAAAGGGGGATCTTAGGCAATTCGCTGGTGTCAGGTCTGGTGGGTCCTAGCAGGGGAGCTTTGGGACATGGATAATGCTAGGGGGAGTGAGCTTGCTTGGAATGGCTGCTGGTTGATGGCAGTCGGCTGGGGGTCAGGGACACGCGGCCCTGTGGTGCAGCTTGCTGCTTGCGACACCTCGCCAGGGGACTGGCGTTGTCTAGCGGCGAGGCCCGGGGTGGGTGGTGTCTGGAAGTTTCTTGAGATTGCAGTTTTACTTTGCTGCCTGTCAGCCTGTCGTCGTTACCTGGTGCTTTCCAAAGTCTGGCCTCCGCATACTCAGGCCAGCCCCCTCACACATGAACGCACCCGTTGACACTTGTATCCACGTGACGGGCTCCCCCCTGATCAGATTTGGGGGAGAAGGCCAGCAACTACTCCCAAGACATCGCATTGCTGGGCCTGGCGGCCGGCGGCATAGCCCTTGCTGCCTACTTCTTGTCGCGCCGCTTTGGCGGCAGTGACGACGGCGCGGCCCGGGAGGCAGAGACGGCATCTGCTGCAGTGCAGAGGCAGCAACAGCAGCAGCAGCAGCAGCAGCAGCAGGAGCAGCGGCAGGAGCAGCAGCAGCAGGGGTCTTCAAAGGAGCGGCGGCGGCAAGAGGCTTTGAGGCAAGAGGAGGTGCTCAACCACAAATGATGCACGCCCCAGCCTTCCAGCGGTCTTGACGTTGTGGTTGACATGGCAAGTGCAGCGTGGTCACAGCAATGTTCCCCTGTACCTGCACAGTTTCCTCCTGCCCATATAATTGGTTTGGGCAGGCATTGATTATATGTTGACTGTGACGCATGAACGAATGATCCAGGGTGTTGGCAACTCCTGCTGGGCACCATGCCGTCACGCGCTGGTCCCTGGGTTGGCTGAGTGTGCGCGGCTCATGCCATGCCACGCCTAGGAAGGGCCTGCTCTGAGCGGCAGAAGGCCAATGCAGGAGAGTGTGCGTACGAGTCTGCGTTTTAGTTTCTGAAAGTTAGTGGCATCCTTGCTTTTGGAAGGTGGGATTGATTTCCAAGCATCACCAACGCGCAACCTCATTGAGACCATCTCAAGCGGTGTGACTCTGATTATCTTGTTGGTTGATGTTCCACACCGACCTTGGCTAATGGATGATGGCCCGGCGTTGTGGCATTCTCATTGTAACTGTTGCGCAGGCAAAACACACCCGTATAAATGTCATAAGGTAATTTGTGCACAGGTGTGTGTGAAGGACCGGGGATATAGGATACCTCATGGGTCCTTGCAGTAGGATTGCGTGGCGACGCCGTGGAACCCGCGCAGCTGCGACCTGCCATCCTGCAAGTCGCAAGAGCTGTGAGGAGATCCCGTCCGACATGGCAATGTTTGCATTGCATCGCACTTGTCACAGGAAGTGAGACTCAGGTTATGCGGCCCGTCACAGCTTGCAAGGAGCCTTGCATTGCGGTTGATACAGAAACTAAACTAGCAGACCACAACTTGCAAGGAGGTCTCGCGAGTCAAAATGTGCTTCTTGTTGAGCAAGTGTGGACGCACGCTCAAGGCGCACATCTCACACTGTGCATGTGTCCACACATGCTGCAGTCTTCCCAACATCGCCCCAACCATCAACCCAGCGCTTCAGCCAAATGACCGCCACCTGCAATGCGAGGCATGCCACCGTGGCCAGCCACGACGGCGCGCCGGCGCCCAGCTCTAGGCGTGTGCGTCAGCGCAAAGGGCAGACAGCCGCTGTGGTTGATGTATCATGCTTGCTCTGCAGCCACTGTATCTGCTTTTACGGCATAATGCTCTTTAATGTAGGGTCCAATCCCATGAGACTGGATGGCTCCAGAAGCGGGCGATCGCGGGACGCTGTTTGTATACTGTACTGGGAAGTGCGGGTGCGGCCCAAGCAGGACGGCCTCCTTGGCCCGCCGTTTGCAAGCACTTGCCGGGTCCGACAAGGCGACCCACTCTCTCCCCTCCTCTTCAGTCTGTTCTTTGATCGAGTTGAGGCCCACGGGACCCTGCGCAGCCTGAGAACAACACCAATCAACAGAGCAGAACTAAGCGCCATACGGGCAGCAATCATGGCAGGGCACAGCCGCATTGCCAGCGACAGCCTAGGTTGCATTTACCAGATTCACAAAATGTCACACAGGCCGCAGGATCTGGACGGTCATCGGCACCTCACACTCCTCACAGCGATCAGAGACGCCATTGCGAGCAGGCCCCCGGAGGCGCCGCCGGTTGTACTCCTCAAAGTGCCCGCCCACGTGGAAATCACCGGCAACGAAAGAGCCGACGCCATTGCAACAGGAGTGGCAAAAGAGACCACAACAGAGAACCTGGCATCGGCACTGGGAGAGCCAGGACTAACTGCCAGTCAGGAGGGACAGTGTCCCTCCTAGCAATGACGCCGCGGCCAGTGGTGGTGGTATACATCTGAGTCAGCAGACGAGACAGCTCGGCCACAAGGGGCAGGCGACAAGCGCCGCCGTCCCAAGAGGCGGATGCTGGCCAATGGCTGAAGCGCTGAAGCGCTTGGCTTGCAACATGCACGAGACGCTGGGGGCCAACCTCAATACGCTGTACATGCGGCTGGAACACGAGACTGCAACCATCCTGCACCCGGCGGCCTGGCACTATCTCCAAAAGTGGGGCACTGTGCTGCCGCACAAACTGAGGCTGTGCCTGCGGTGGAGATGCGGACAGGTCCCCACCATGCACAACCTGCACAAGTGGGGAAAGAGCAAAAGCACGGCCTGCCGCCTGTGCGGAGACCCGGATGAGACCGCTGGGCACACCATGCTGGCATGCCCGGCGCTGAGCGCGCAGCACACCTCTCGCCAACCCCGTGCGGGGAGGATAATCCTCGCCGCGATAGAGGCTGGAGCGATGGGCGGCTGCATTAAGAGCGCAGACCTGGGGTCAGCAGAAAACTGCAAAGAGGATGGGGTGATGCACCGCCGCACCTTCGACAAGTGCTCCATCCTGACCCCCGCACAGAAACGGCGCCTGAAAGATGCGCGCACATACAGCGTTCCCGACATCATCCTACACGTGCCGGCAGCAGGCAGAGGGTCGGCGGAACACATCCATATTGTGGAAATCAAGTACTGCAGGGACACAAACCAAGACCCGACAATTGCAGCGGCCACGGCACAGCACGCCGCACTCATTGCAGAACTGCAGAAGGCGCGCCGGCAGGTCCACCTCGATGTGATTACACTGGGTGTGGGGGGCGCAATCTACGCAAGCATGATCACGACCGCGGCTGACCTAGGGGTACCCAAAGAGAAACACCAGGCTTTATTCGAGCATCTCAACCTGCACGCTGTGGAGAGCATGACAGCTGTTTGGGGCCGCCGCAAGCGGCCACTGCTGCATGCAAACAACTGCCCGCCGTCACGGCCGCATCAAGGGCGCGGCGTCACGTGAATATGCCCCTCGATCTTCACGGTGGGGGGTGTGGCTCACCACACACACCCCTCGCGGGATCTTGTAACAATCCTAATCCTCTCCTTGACCCGACGCGGCGCCGCTTGCAGCGTGGCTTTTAGCCGCG